CAAATATTGGTTTTCGATGCAGCTGAGCTGTGATAAACTAAACCTCTGGCTATTGGCCAGAATTTACACTAATTTGGCTTTTCCTGCTGCGCCGCATCACAGGTGATAAAAACAAGAGCCGGGCCAAGAAACTGCTGAGGCTAATGTTTTTGTATTTGTGCTAATAAGTGTTTATGCAAATTGACAGGCAAAACCGATGATGCTAAGGCCTCAGAGAAGGGCAAGGCACCTTCCAAGAGTTCTGCTGGCATCCAGCGCTCACCCTCAGATGCTGGGAAGAGCAGTGGAGACGAGGGCAAGAAACCCCCGTCTGGCATCGCACGCCCACCCACCACAGGCTCATTTGGATACAAGAAGATCCCAGGTCCCACCGGCACCCTAATCACCTCTAGCGGCGCGACGCTCGCCAGCGGCTCAGCCACCCTGGGCAAGGCGCCCAAATCCTCAGCTGCCCTAGGCAAAGGCACAGGCATCGGCGGTGTGCGGAAGACCAGTCTGGATGGCTCGCAGCCCCAGGATGACGGCATCCTGCTCAGCTGCGGCAGCTCCAAAGTCACCCTGCAGTACCGCTCCCTACCCAGACCGGCCAAATCCTCCAGTGGGGTGGCGGCAGGGCGCAGCGGGCATCGCTCCAGCTCCAGCAGCATTGACTCAAATGTCAGTGGCAAGTCAGCCACACAAACGGGCACCAAACGCCGGGACGGAAAAGTGGGCTCAGACCGCTCCAGTCCCATCACAATAAACCAGACGGACAAGGAGAAAGTGGCGGTGTCAGACCAGGACCCAGCAGCGGGACTATCCACGTCCCCCAAGTCCAGCCCCACCTCCACTACAACAGGCCAGTCAGGCCTCAGGCAGCCAGGCTCCAAGTACCCTGATATTGCCTCTCCTACCTTCCGCAGGTCAGAAACACAGAACATGTCTTCTTCTCTCATTCTGTCTTTGTCCGTCACCGTGTGTGTTTCTACGTGAATCAGACATCTCACCACATTCTTCTTCAGTCCCTTGATTTTTAGCAATAAGTGGTGTTTTTTACAGTACAGCTGGCATGCCTTTAGATGATGTCGATGTCATCAGCACATCTATTTCAGAATTACAATGTAAGGAGGTTTTCATCCATGATGACGAGCTGATGTTTGTGTTGCTGTAACAGATAGGGGCACTTATTGAAGATGTCATCAGTAGTGGTAAACATGTACCCTGGCTTAAAAATACAGTCATCTATATCAATTTTAGAAATGTTTGGCTTCGCAAAATGAATATAGGACACTTAATAAATCATATTTCAGTGCCTTCATGAAAAAATTGATTGAAAAAAGTGAGCTTACTTGGCTGTGCAGCCAAGGGTTGCCATTACATAGATTGTTCCCTGGTTGTAGGTGATAAGCCACTGCAGATGAAACATATCTTTTCCCCCCCCGAAGATGAAGGTCTGATGGCTTCTCGTTCAGCTCAGGCAAGAATCCAGCTCAGCAGTGTTGATCAGAACAGACAGGAGACAGGAGTTTCTCTGCACACCAATTCCTGACTCATTAGAGGCATGCGTTCGGCAGGCGTGTCCAAACATCCGTCCCATCCGATTTGTCAAGCCGACCCTTTTCATCTGCATGTCTTCAAGCCTGTTTTTTTTTTTTTTTCTTCAACAGAGTGTCATCCATATATTTTGTGTGACTGTGATGACAGACTGGGACGGGCGCGAACAGAGTTAGCAGGCTGTCTGAGCATATGTGGGCGGCGAACAGGGTTGAGTGGCCTCGCAGATGAGGTTATTTAAAGTCACGGGGTTGAAACGGGCAAAGCTGTGAAAGCAGATGTGTCGATGTAAATTACTGAGAGTTCACAGATGAGATGAGGTGGAGTTTTGCTGCGAGGGATGAATGTGTTGGGAAGTCCGCTCAGTATTTCATCTGCAGTTTAAAGTTGGCTTTACAACAAAGGTGTGGGGATGTCTCAGTCACTGTTTTTCACAAATTTGCTTCTTCTTGATGCTTGTGACAAATGCAGAATTACAATTTCATATATAATATCCAATATATTCTTTCAACTCCAAAGTATGCCAAATTATTTTCCAGTATGGATCTTGCAGATGCTCATCACTTGTCCTTTGAGCATGTCTGAATGACTGCACCCACCTCTCTACCCTCAGATTGTTTGGCACCAAAGCCAGCAGCAAGGCCAGCTCTCCGGGCACGCCCGACTCTGGCAAGTGCCCCTCATTACTGGGCAGCCCCCACGGCACGCTGGCAAGGCAGGCCAGTCTGGACTCGCCCTCCTCTGGCACGGGGAGCCTGGGCAGCGCTGGCGGCCTGAGTGGTGGCAGCAGCCCGCTGTACGGTAAAACCCCAGACTTGTGCACTGACTCCCCGGCCTCCAGCCCGGCCTCTGGCCTCTCCCTGCCCTCCAACGCTCGGCCCTGGCCTGCCTGTAGCTCGTCAGCTGGCAGCAAGGACACACTGAGCTGCCAAAGCATGACCAGTCTGCACACCAGCTCAGAGTCCATTGATCTGCCGCTGGGCCACCACGGGCCAAAGGTTACACGAACCGGCAGTGTCAAGTCCACCCTGTCAGAGGGGTGAGTAACAGGAAATACGATTGGGCTGAATCGTATTCATTGTTTCATTTGAGAACAGAGACAAAAAGTGTATCTCCTTACCCTAATATGTAGACATACCATGCCCAAATAATACCAGTAATAATCACTCACCCAGCACACAGTTTGGTTGGATTTAAGTTTATTTTTCTGGCATGGTTTTGGTATTATCAAAAATAGATCTGTGAGTACAGGAACTGAGTACATACTATGTATAGTTCAGTTTGGGCAGGACAGATGTGCAACAGATCTTATATTGCATCACTATATCATAATTAGTTTCTATCGCATTGACCAGGTAGCAATCTTAACGAAGTGTTAATGGAAGCATCATGAAAGTGTAAGCTCAAAGACAGTATTACTCGTGGCCCCACAGCCATGCCAGAAAAAGTACCACAGTAAATTCAGATCATTTCAGACGCTCATTCCCATGAGAAGTCTCTATTAGAGTGTTTCCATTGTTTTGTCCACACACTGTGCATGCAGTACGTCACACAAGACAGGAACAGGGCACAAGTTTATTTTCCCTCATTAGCTTTTTAGTTTTATGTCTCAAAAATGAAACAATTGATTTAAATATTGCCTGTGTTTATATTTGTTGTCTGTTGTCCAGTGATGCATTAGTTAACGTCTTTAATGTGTTCTCCATAGAGTACATCCGTTTGCATACTGTGTGTTTGTGTGTGTATATGTGTGTGTGTGTTTGTGTGTGTGTTTGTGTCAAAAGTCAAGTGTGTAAAAATGTGACCAGTCTTTTTTTTTTTTTTTTTGTCAGCGAGCACAAAAACAAATGTTTTCCGGTGTTCATCTAATTCACTCATCCTCTGTGTTTTAACAGCATGCCTCTTGACAGAAACACGCTTCCCAAAAAGGGACTGAGGTACAACACATCTGCAGCCACATCTCAATCTCTACTGTTGTTCTTTTGCTTATTCACACACATCGTACGCATACATTTGCATGAGAATACCAAGTTTACCAGCTCTACTTTCAGCTCTACTTTCATGTTGTGTGTGTGTGTGCGTGTGTGTGTGTGTGCGCGCGCGTGTGTGTGTGTGTGTGGCATCTACTTACAGCAGCAGTAATTCCCAACCTGTACCTGTGCCCCAAGGCATAATTCTGCAAGAGGCTTTGTGCTTGAGAACATGTGGAAAGACTGTGGAGAAGCTCAACTTATAGAAATAAAAGATAGAAATTGCAATTTAAATAAAACACCTATCCTCATATTGAGTAAGCTATAACATTGAGGCATAACTAATTAGTTAGCAAGCAAGCAGAAAAGTACATAATCATCAATTAGCAAAACATGATGGATAATTGGTTGAAATAGGATTAGAGGTTAAAAGTTAGTTTAAATGAATGGATAAATATTTAAAACAATAAGCTTAAAGCAGTGGTTCCCAACACAAACTTTCAAGTGGGTGGGCCATGAGTTGGAAAAGTTTGGGAGCCACTGGCTTAAAGTAATGGCTAAACAATTGAAAGAGCTTAAGGTAATGGGTAAATGGTGCCATATCAAAAAGGAATGGATGCATGGTTAAATATTTAGCTTAAAGTAATGGATAAAAAGTTGAAATAGTTTAATAAAAGATATCTAGCTCTTGCTCCCACATTGTTCCAAGGCGCTTATTATAAATCAGTTTGGATTAATGCAATGTGAGAACCGGTGAAAATAGGAAAAAGTACCAACCACACTAAAGTAATGGATGAATGCGTCAGTGAAGGTACTTGGTTTGGAACTACTGATGTATAAAGTAGAAAATCTTGAGATTATGTTTTGCAGCATTCACACTGCAGGAACAAACTTCTGCACAAATCAGACTTAACTGTGGATTCAGATTTATTTTTTTTTTGCAGAATGCATTATGTGATGCATTACTATACGTTGAAAAGAAATACATATACAATCTTATCTGATCTCTCTTTTTTTTCCCAACAAACTCAAACTAAAATATAGATAGAGAAAGATAGATTTTGTACCAGAGATCCTGAAGTCCACATTAACAAAAGCCTTTAAGTGAGGTGAAAAATTCTAACGCAGTGTGAACGCTGCCTCAGATGATCAGACAGGAGTATGTTTGTCCGTTTGCATGTCTGCTTCTCTATGTGCAACCTCATGCTCTTCTCATCACATGCACTGCTAGAAATGCAGCAAACACAGCCGCTATGACAGAGCAGTTCCTCCTCAGCTCCCTACAATGGCCAAACACCGCCTGATAACATTTGCTCTGTTAACCCAAGGCCAAGTCAGCCAAGTGAGTCGAAGGTATATTTTGGATTTAGCTGGGACTAAAGGGAGAGAGACAGAAATACCATAACCCATTCATCACAGTGGCACAGCCTCTGCAGGGAACAGCCTCTCTAGCCAATTATACATTACTGCTGCAGAGAGGTTGGATGGGGCATGCTGGTTTCAAACCATTCTTTCATTTTGATGGCATTTGGTGCTCGTACTTTATTGGGCCTAAAAGCATCTGATCTTATGTTACACTTTGTGCCCGTTGGAAGTGATGTTCAGTACAGACCAGAGTGTTTTCTTCTTCTTCTTCTGACCGCAGATTTTTTACGGCCGTCTGTTCACATCTCAAACCAAATGGCACTTTTTTTTTTTTTTTTTTTTTCTACTTGCCTGATCTTCCCACAAGTGGAGCTTAGACTAATAATTGGCCCCTTTAGTGATATAAATAAGCATGTTGGTCCTGCTAATGGGCATTTTGAAAGGACTTAGTATACTGAGTCAAACACTGACCCTTGGATATTTCAGGCTGTTCCAATTCAACTCCAGTGAGGGACGAACGCTGCTGTGTCACACCATTCAACACAAGCTTAGACACTCAATCCCCTGGTGGAGAGAATACGAAGCACGGGCATGGGGGAGCAGGGTCAGATGTGACAAGTGTAGTAATGGGGTCGTTGGAGGGAAGACGCCGCTGAAAAGGGATGAGTGCAAACTCAATTATGATCCTCAGAGGATTAAATATGGCCGATTGTCATGCGTGCGATAAGGGCCTTCTGCTGCCAAGCCCCTTTGGAGCTGGAGAGAGAAGAGATGAACGTCTGTGTGTGTGCTTTTTGCAGCTTTGAGCCAGAGGAGTACTGTATGTGTATATAGTATACGAATGAGTGTGTGTGTGTAGATGTATGCATGTGAACGTCTGTGCTGTGGCTGCATGTTTCTTTTGCTCTCTGCTCACATGCTTCTATTATTAGCTCCACACTCATTTCATCACCGAAGAACTTCACTACTTTGGACTTCCAAATATCTTAGCAGCCATTTCTGCCATTAGCTTATACTTTCTCTGGGGGTTCCAGGTACCCTCCGTCCTCCCGGCAGACATCCCACGAGGAAGGGAAGGAGTGGTTGAGGTCCCATTCAACAGGGGGGCTTCAGGACACAGGCAGCCAGTCCCCACTGTCTCCTCCAGGAGCTTCCTGCACCACCACTGGAAAATACCACTACTCCAACCTGCGTGAGTCTATAGTAGCAAATGCTCTCAATGATTTTACTTAGTGATGTTATTTTTTCTAATCTGGGGCCCAACAGCACCAATAAACCAAACAGTAAAAAGTACTTGTGTGAGGTTTGTCTAATGTGCTTGAATACTATACTAAAACTATAATAAAAACCAACTTAGTGCAATAAAAGATGGATAAATAAATAAAGCAAAAAGGCCCATATGTGCAGTCCACACAGTGCACACTCTTCATGAAGAGTGATCTACTGATTTTTTTCGTTCTTGTTTCATGACTCTGAATTGTTTAATGGTCCAAATAGTTTAAAGTTAGATGTCCATGTGTAGTTTGATTATAAAGCAGGTCTAGGTTCTATATTAATACTGTGAAAGTATCAAAGCCTCAGTCCACAGAGAAATGCAGACAGCCTGTATTCAGAAACTGAGCCTTAAAACCAGCCGTCAGGACGTCAGGTGGCTGAGAGTCACCGCTCTCAGCCATGCCTCAAGCCCCAACCACCTGGAGCCACCATCCAACCTTGCAGGATTTGGTTTCTCAGAGTGTTTACCTGAAATCTGCTATATTTTTATTGGATCACTCAGAAAACAGTCAATCAATCAGAAGAGAGGCTCAGAGCCTCCTCTCTTCTGATTGGTTCACCGACCTGTTGTTACTAGAGCTCCAGAGAGAAGCCTGAGAGAGGAGATGTAAAACTACATTGAGATAGTTTTTTGGTTCTTAAAACCACAAATATATCTTCTTATGGATCAACACTTCAGGAAGAAGAGGAAACCTTTAAAATTTTGTGTGAGTGTCTAAAATGTGAAATATGCAGAAACGTATATGACAGTAGATACATGGCCATAAAAATGAGCCATATAATTAAATCATAATTTTTTCATGTAGCAATCAAAATATCTTGAAGTCCATTAAGATTTTACCGGACTTGCACCATTATTAGCTGTAAATTGGTTCTTAGTTCATGCATGAATGATTGATCACTGATGCTTTTTACAGATGCCACAGGGTTCATGTAAAAGGGGAAAATATTTATTAACCCTGATCTCAGCTGATCTATTTTTTCCTCTGTTCAGTGAGTCCCACGAACATCAGCCAGTACAACCTGCCACCAGGCAGCAGCAGCATGAGCCGCTCCAACAGCATCCCCGCCCAGGACTCCTTTGACCTGTATGGAGAGGGTCACCCACTGGGTGGCAGCGCAACCTCCTTGGAGGACCGACCCCGGGCCATCAGCCGCTCCGGCTCCTTCAGGGACAGCACTGATGAAGGTGGGGCTCGCTCTATAAATGAACTGTGTCAGACATGAAACCTTGATACTAAGAAGCCATTAGAAATCATTTTAAGGCCACGTTCATCAAGGCAACGTCCCCAGTCATCAAGTGCATTAATCCCAGCTGAATGAGCTCTCACTGTGTTCATACTGTGAGTGACTCGGCTGGTGGCTCTGTTCTGGTCTTTTCATGGCTGTCATTACGTCCATATAGAGGTCAGCTTTTTAACAGGCAAATCATATATTTTTTCTGGCTTTAAAGCTTACATCATCTGAATGACTTCCATTAACTGTGAAGTGCTAATCAGTCAAGTGGGTAATTAAGAAAAAATAAGAAAGTAATTAAAATGACTTTAGAGCTCCCTCAAGGTCAGATTCAGTAGAAGAGGTAGAATATTGTATCGTCACATTTGAATTGAATCTGTAGCATTGATCCCTGTTTTTCACACCAGTTTTTATAATTAAGTGTTTTACTAAACCTTAGTCACTCATTCCTCTCTCTGTATGTTTACAGTCCATGGCTCCTCATTGTCCCTGGTCTCCAGCACATCTTCACTGTACTCTGCAGTAAGTAGCTGACAGCTTTTCTTCCTGATTTTACAGCAGTGGTCAGGTACTGTACATCTGAATCATGGTCATCGTTAAAGCTGCTCTGATCTGATCAATATTTTTGCATTAAAAATGTATCAGATTATTAAATATAAATGCAAGGAAAAGAATAACCCAGCTCGGTAACAATGTTTCAGCCTCTTTCCACTCATTGTTTTTGGTTTTCCAGCTTGAAACATTTCAGTTTTGGTTGAGTCGTTTCCAGGTAGAAAGCTTTGATAAAACCACTGTCTGCTACCAGCTCAGCAGCAAACAATAACGCTAACAGCTAACAACTAGCTGCTGAACATAGTTACGCATTTGGCACATATAAAAAAAAAAAACTAGATATATCTCTGATAAGTTGGTGGAGACCAAAACATTGCTGAAAGGAAAGTAAATATTAGACTTTTATTCACCAGGTGGCCAGAAACACAATGAACAAATGAATGCTAATGTTAGTTCATGCTAAATGTGTTAATATGCAAGTTTTTGCTAACAACTTCACCATAACAACTTTATAAGTGTTATGTTTACGGCTTGTTTCATGCCCTAAATGGCCAAATAGTCCATTTATGCAGATTTAAAGGTGCACTGTCTTATTTTGTTATAGCACCCAACAGCATCCACAATGAATATTTTCTCAGCTCACTGTTGATGTTGATGAACTCACCACAGTGAACTAGGGGGACATTTTAGGATGTGACTGTGTGCTTTCAAAAACGTAACAATTTTAAGGTTAAAGTCATCCTATTTTTTTAAACTGGGACAACACAAAGGAAGATCAAATCCGTCAGCTCTTCCATGTGATACGGTGGGGCATTAAATCAAAGTAGCAAATTAAATAAAGTGACTTTGGCAGATAAGACTCTGGACATGTGTTGGGTTTCTAACAGCACAGGCAGCTCTGAAGTCGTCACGATCAGAGAGGTGGCAGATTAGTTTTAGGGAGAAGAATCGATCACCACCCACCTCCACCTGTTTCAAGTGTCACTTGCAGGTCGCAGACGAAAGGTCTGGATGAAAGATATAGTTTCATTCGCAACGTTTCCCCTCAGGTTGAATCCATCTGTTTGTTTTGTGGTTATAAACCACTTGTCATTTTGTTTTCTGTCTGATTTCCACTTCAACGCCAGTGATGCTCTACTTCTCCTCTTTACTACCTCCTCTTTGGCATTAAAATGCTTCTTATGGTGCATATTCTAATTCATTTGATTGTGCTTGATTGAACACTTCACTCTGAGACAATATGCAGCTTTTTCTAAACTATGTTTGCATCTTCCTCACAGACGGAGGAGAAAGCTCACTCAGAGGTAAGGATGGATAAGTTGCGTCCACGTGTCGGCATGCGTGCTTCCTTTTAGCAGCTTTCTGCTTCACTTCATATAGTTTCAGACATTTACAGCTTAAAGCTGGCTGTGCTGTAGGTGGGGGGGTTAAGTCCCCCCCTGTGGGAACCTCGAAGACGTGGGATTCAGTCCGACAACCTCCGTGTCATGTGCATGTTTTAGCTGCGACTACTGTTTTTTTGTTTGTTTTGTTTGTTTGTCTTTATGTTTCTATTGCACTTCATCTGTCAATCAAAGCACAAACAGTGATATTTGTTCAGCTTAATTTAAAGTCTCTTTGATTTATATTGATAATAATTTAAAGAATAGTTATAAATAAATGCTATCAGGTTCTACAATGAAGCAGTTTAACTCTGTGTTGCATTGCTTTTTATTCTCAGTTAATCTTTATTTATTTCATCCTGATTATAAATAATTAAATAACCACTCCTCCCTGCTGTGCTATGTAGCTAATATACTTTACTAAAACTTACATTATAGCATATCTAATGCATGCCCTGGCTATTTTAGTTTGGCTTCATTCAACAGTTTATCACTGATTCTTCTTTGATTTTACAGTTTTATGTTTTGATTTTTTTTTGTTTTCTGTTTATTCCTTTTCTCTGTTCTTGTTTATTAGAGCTTTTAGCTCAAGTTTGGATCAAACAGTAATGGCAAATACATCACAGTGTTTGTTTTAACCCTGCCAGATGGGTGGAGTTTAGCATTTTCAGACAGCTTTTCTCAGCGCAAACTGACACAAGTGACCCAGTTCTGGTTTATATTCCCTCAGGACAGACCTACACACGACTTTTTCATCATTTACATGACACATTTGTTGTAATGTTGGCGCCACAGAAACTTGACTAAGCAGTGTTGGCGTGAGAAACGAGAAAAAACCAATAGAAATTATGAAAAGGACTTGATTGGTATTTTTTGACATTTCTCATCTGATGAAAATCTGATATATCTGATCTTCTAAAATGTCAGAAGCGTGTGTTGGAAACACATGCCCTCTGTCACTGTCACTATCTCTGCAAATGTCTTGTCAACATTACTGTCAATTCATACTGATATCAGATATTGATTATATATAAAAAAAAAAATACACATAAAGATCAATTCAAAAACCTCTGATATTGACAGCAATTTGTAACGAAGCATGGAGATTTTCATTCATTATTCCTTCTCGTCCTGGTGTCGTCCACGTTGGTAAACTCACACATCTGGCACTTTGTTTACAATATTAAAAAATTTTGAAAAAAAAATCAGGTATTTGCAAATACTATTTGACTCAGGTGAGGAACTAACTTACCTGTAGCTCTTGCTTTGATGCTCGGAGTCTAACATGAGAAAACAAGTGCTGTGAAAACCTCTGTCTCTCCAGCCACATCAGTTCATGCTGTTTGATGGGGGCATGCAACATAGTGTTAATTTGTACTCTTTTTCTTTTCAATCAAGGGCCAAACAGTCCAAAATTCCACGGTAATCCCCCACACTTTTTTTTGTTCACACTTCACCCCAGTGTCTTTACACACAGTATTACCATGTACCTGCATAGTTTTTTTTTTTTACATCAAAAATATCAACAAGGGAGTTGCAAGTTCAACACCTCTTTGCATTACAATCAGTCTTATTTCCTTCATGTTTTTCTGGAGCATTAACCGCACCTTTACCTTTTGTTTTTCTTTCTTCCGCAACCAGCAAATCAGAAAGCTGCGTCGGGAGCTGGACGCCTCTCAGGAGAAGGTGGCGACCCTGACGTCTCAGCTGGCTGCCAATGTGAGTTTGTTTACTTCAAAAGATGCCGTCAAAACAGCCGGCTCATTTGCATGATAACCTACTGTCAGAGCTTCCTGCCTGTTAAAGCTCTGGAAGGAATATAAATCTTTAAGACGCCCACTAATTCCTTTTCTCTCTGTTTGAAGCTGATGTGTGTGTATTTAGGCTTTTGCTGTTTGATTTTTGTTGGTGGTGTGTGTGTGTTGTGTGTGTGTGGATGTTTTCTTCTGTGTGTGTTTGTGTGTGTACCGGTACAGCGAAGATGTCTCTTTTGCCTTTTGTCTGTGCGGGTGGGGAGCCTCTCTCACTGAATTCACCCAAAGCAGAGAGAATCAAAGGAGATAGACGGGCCGCAGAAAGATGAAACAGGGAGATGAGATAAGTTGATCTTAGACATTGAGTGCGTCATGCGTGGGTGAAACAGAGACCGACGAACCCAACCCAACGAAGCTGTCTTTTGTACCGAGATTCAGCATTGTATCGACAAACTCCCATCGTCAGGCTCACGGGCCTCGACACCCCCACCCCACCCCCACCCTCCCCACCCTCAATGCCAAGCGCCTGATCAAGCGTGGAGGCAGACGCTTCAGTCCAACGCTTTGATCACAAAGTTGTGCGGAGCTGAAACTGAAGGCTAAACTGTGGGCAAACTTGTCGAATGGAAGAGGGAGACAGGACTTTATAGAAGAGTTATGTAGGGACAGTCAAACAACTTTATGTTTGTTTTGGTTCTCAGAGGAAAAATCCACCATTAGATGCTCTTAAACAGCTTCTGTCTCCTTTGCGTTCTCTGTGGCCAGAGCACTTTCTGTCAGTAGTGGAGTCAGAAAATTTCCATTTGAGACAAAATGATTCATACATTTTTAAAGCTTTGTGGTTGCTTTGCATTCTGGTCTTTTCTTTGTTTGACAGTTGTGAAATGGCAACTCTACACAGAAGCTCTTGCTCATATATTAATTTACTGTTGCTGTTTCAGGACGCGACAACATTTCCAACTGCCAAACCACACTGCTACAGAAAATACCTGGACATGACATCACACCTAATGATATGTATGTTCTGTCTGCCACCCACGGCAATTACAGAAATACAGGAAGTACATCACTGGTTTTTGCAGTGGTTGCTGATGGACAGTAAATACCTACCAGTAAAATACACTGGTAAATACACACATTTGTGTTTGTGGTACAGAGATTGTCAGTGTGGCTGGCATGACTCAAACACGAGGCTAGAGCCCGACTGATTTATCAGCTGATGTTGGCCATCACAGATATATCTGTATCGGTACATATAATCTCCGATATGTGCCGATATGAAAACTTTTATTAAGAAGCGATACTGCAGTGGAAACGCTCGGGTCAAGTCAAGTTATATAGGCAGAATCTTATGTATATTTGATCCTTTGTTTTCATTCAAGTTAAATATATATATATATATATATATATATATATATATATATAATGTACAT